CGTTTATTGGATCTGATCAGAAGTAAAGTAGGTCTTATTAGGCTTATTTTAGGTCTGATTAGGTTGCTAAAAGTCTAATCAGGGGTTGGTAAGTCAATAGGGGTTGGCTTAGGTTTGATGATTAGGACTTTTAGGTGATTGACTAGGACTTAGGGTCATCTAATCAGGGGTTGGTCGACTAGGGTTGGCTTAGGTCTGATTAGGGTCGTGTGATGGTCTAGTCGGGACTTTTGGTTGTCTAGCTAGGGCTGTTAGGGTCTAGGTAGCACTTGGGTAGGTCTGATTAGGACTTTATGAGGGGCCGGGTAGACTCGGGATCGTAGGACTGGTTAGGACTTTGTTGGGGGCCATGTAGACTCGGTGTTGTAGGTCTGATTAGACGTAATCAGGTCTGTGTAGCCTTAAGTTAGGTCTGGTTAGACGTAATCAGGTCTTAAGGTAGGCTGTGTTTCGAGTCTAATAGGTCGGTTAGGCAAAATTATGCCTAGGATAAGTCCAATCAGGTTTGTGCGAGAGTCTAGGAGGTCGGTTAGGTAGAAATATACCTTGTGTTAAGTCCAATCAGGTCTGGTCTAGAGTGTGTTAGATCCGTTTAGGTAAGATGTACCTAGGGTGTTGTCCGGTTAGACTTGGGTTAAGGTCCGCTAGATCGGTTTAGGTTGAGTGTCTAGGTTAAGTCCGGTCAGGTCGTGTTCTCTAGGTCTTGTAGGTCTGATTAGGTAGAGACGTACCTAGGTTTAGGTCCGATAGACTTAGGGTTGGAGCGTGTTTAAGCACGGCTAGGTAGAAATATACCTAGGGTTAAGTCCTCTAGGGTTCGGTCTCATCCCTCGTGTCATGTTACATCACTTCTAGGGTCGGGTAAGTCACTTTCGGGTTGAGTCGGTTTTAGACTCAGGTTTTATCGTCTTAAGATGATGGAGCTAGATATTCTAGCTCGGTATACCCCGAAAGGGGGTATGGTGGAAGGACTAGGGGTCTCGGGCAAAACCCGAGAAATCGGGTTGCAGGAGTAGGCCAAGGACCAGGTGGAGTGAGTTGTTCCGCGGGTAGGTAGGGATCCTACATGGAGGATTTGTAGATCCCGGATGACGAGGTAGGGAGAGTCCGAGGTAGAAGGACGTTTTGACCTCGGAGGAGTAACCGAAGATGCTTCGGTTCTCGGTGGTAGGTCAGGAGGTGAGGACTCCACAT